GGGCCCAGATATTGCACCCACCCGAACTGTTACCTTAACCGTAAGGAACCCTAATCCCCAATCGCCCAACAACACTTCGCGGTCAGTGAAGAAGAAGACTCCCCACAAGAAATTGACGGAACCAGAGTACCAAAAAAGGGAGAAGCATGGCCTTTGTTTTCGATATGAGGAGAAGTATACGGTGGGGCATCGATGCAGAAATCAGGAACTCCGGGTCTTTGTCATCCATGATGATAAATTAGCAGAGGTGGAAGAAGGAGGGGTAGTGGAAGAGACGACAACACCGAACAAAGAAGAGAAAGGAAAAATGGTCGAGTGCCGCTTGAATACGATCGTGGGAATCACAACTCTAGGGATCATCAAGATCAGGGGCACAATTCAGCACTGAGAAGTTATAGTACTCATCAATTGTGAGGCAACTCACAATTTCATTTCACTGCCACTCGTGGAGGAGTTGAAGTTACCCAGTTAACTATGGCATGGTGATGGGGACGAGTACGACAGTGCGGGGAAAAGGAATCTATTGGGGGTAGTTCTCACCTTACCGGAGCTATTAGTGAAAGAAGAATTTCTTCCCTTGGAGCTGGGGCCACTAGACGTCATTTTGGGTGTGCAATGGCTTTAGACCTTGGGAAAAATGGAAGTAGATTGGCCTGCATTCACACTGGTGTTCAACAGGTTGGAGAAACGGGTAACACGCAAGGGAGATCCCACTCTGACCCGCCTTGAAGTGTCTCTGAAAAGGCTAGCTCTCAAATGGGAGGGCAAGGATCAAGGGTATTGGGTTGAATTACGCATGTTGACAGGCCAAATTGGAGGAGGAGAAGCCATTGTACCTACCAACCCGAGCCATTTCTGCTGGAAGTGCAGGAGTTGATCAACGAGTATGCGACGGTATTTTAGATGCCCAATGAGCTTCCTCCGCAGCGTCAGTAGACCATAGAATCCCTCTAAGGGAAGGGGAACGACCAGTGAATGTTAGGCCCTATCAATACCCCTACGTGCAGAAGGATGAGATCGAGAAATTGATTGGGAAATGTTGGCTGCAGGCATCATTCAACCTAGTGTTAGCCCATACTCTAGTCCGGTGAGTTTGGTAAAAAAGAAAGATGGGAGCTGGTGTTTCTGCATAGACTATCGCACCTTGAACAATTCTATAATACTAGATAAGTTCCCAATCCCTGTAATCGAAGAACTCTTAGATGAATTATATGGCTCTTGCATTTTATCCAAGATAGGTCTGAAATTAGGGTATCACCAAATACAAATGGATGCAGATGATGTCTAGAAGACAGCCTCTAGGACACACGAAAGGCACTACGAGTTTTTAGTTATGCCATTTGGCTTAACCAATGCACCACCAACTTTCTAGTCATTGATGAACCAAATCTTTTAGCCATTCCTACGTAAATTCATCCTCGTTCTTTGATGATATCCTAATTTGTAGTTCGGATTTGAAAACTCATCTTACTCACTTGGGGGTGGTGTTTAATATTTTGAGGGACAATCTGCTGTATGCCAACCTTTAAAGTGCCCGTTTATGCAAGAACGGATCGAGTACTTGGGCCACTTGGTCTCTACGCATAGGGTAGAGGCAGATCCGACCAAGATTGGAGCCATGCTATAATGGCCTCGGCCATCCAATCAGGATTCTTGGTGTTGACAAGGTACTACTGCAAGTTTGTGGCACATTATGGAATCATAATAGCCGCATTGACGCCAACTCCTCAAGAAAGACACGTTTTTATGGGATGAGCAGGCCACAGAGGCATTTGAGACCTTAAAGAAGGCCATGGTGACATTACCAATGCTATCATTACTAGATCTCAGCAAGCTTTTCATGATAGAGACACATGCTTATGGCAGTGGGTTGGGGGTAATACTTACTCATTGCATACTTCAGCCATCCGTTGTCCCTACAAAGCCAAGCTAAGTTCGTATATGAGGCGGAACTTATGGCAGTGGTGCTGGTGATCCAACGTTGGTGACCCTACTTGTTGGGGAAGCGGTTTGTGGTGATAACTAACCGAAAAGCACTAAAGTACTTGTTAGAACAGCGGGTGGTTCAACTAGAGTACCAAAAGTGGATTTCAAAGCTCCTTGGGTATGATTTCGAGATTCAATATCGGCCTAGATTGGAAGACAAGGCAGCTGATGCCCTTTTGAAGATGCCTCCAATGCCGAAATTGACCACCTTGACAGCCCAACTATCTTGGATGTGGAGACTATCAAGACTGAAGTAGTTGCTGATGCTTACTTAGCAGGCGTTATAGCAGACCTTTTAAGGGACCCCGACAGTGTGCCTCAACATCCATCAGGGAATTTTGAAGTACAAGGGTCGCCTGTTCCTGACCAAGTCATCCTTCTTAATCCCAGAAATCGTGCACATGTATTATGACTCCGTCTTAGGAGGACATTGGGATTCCTACGCACCTATAAGCAATTGATAGGGGAACTATATTGGCAGGGAATGAAAGCATATATTAAGAAGTATGTGGAAGAATGTACCACCTGCCAAAGGCACAAGACTACCGCCTGCTGGGTTGCTGCAACCGCTGCCACTGCCACTGCCAGACCGCATTTGGGAAGATATCTTGATGGATTTTGTGGAGAGGCTGCCAAAATTCATGGGAAATGATACCATCTTTGCGGCTGTGGACCAGTTGAGCAAGTATGCTCACTTTATTCCATTATGCCATCCTTTCACCTCAAAAACTTCTGTGTTCATTTGTGAAGTGGTAAGGTTGCACGGATTTCCCCGCTCCATAATATCCGACTATGATAAGATCTTTTTAAGCCATTTTTGGACAGAGCTCTTCCGAATGCAGGGGACTAAACTACGAAGAAGCACAGCCTACCATCCCTAAACGGATGGGCAATCAAAGGTCGTGAATAGGTGCCTCGAGACGTACATGCGATGCTTTTGCAGCGAGTCACCCAAGCAGTGGGGGCACTGACTACCATGGGCAGAGTATTGGTACAATACCACATTCCACAATTCGATCGGCACAACTCCGTTTCACGCAATGTATGGAAGGGCACCGACCCCCTTGCTGTTATATATGAGTCAAAAGACTCCAAATGCGACCCTCGATCACTAGTTAGTAGTAAGGGACTTAACTTTAGATCAGCTGAAGGCTCATCTCGGTCAGGCACAAGAAAGAATGAAAAGGTAGGCGGATAAGAGGCAACGGGAAGTGGAGTTTGAACTAGGGGAGAAGGTCTATCTCAAGTTGCATCCATATCGTCAACAGACCATGGCAAAGCGAAAGAATGAAAAGCTGTCCCCTAAACTCTTTGGACCTTATACAATTGTCTAGAAGATTGGCAAGGTAGCTTATATGTTGGACCTTCCGGCAGAAGCAGCAATACACCCGGTCTTTCATGTCTCCGAGCTTAAAAGAGCCATTGGGGACTCAGTAACCACTACACAGATGATATATGTGCCTATGGAACAATGAAGCTACCGGTGAGCATAAAGCCTTGATCAGTTGGAAGGGGTTACCAGAAGAAGAAGCAACTTGGGAGTCAGTCCAAGTCATGAGCAAGCAGTTTCCCGAACTACGCCTTGAGGATAAGGTGTCTGGGACCAGGGGGTGATGTTAGGCCCCCAATTATACATACCTACAGGAGGAGGGGTAGACATGGAAAATGAATTGTAGGAAAGTGAGTTACCTTAATAGTCAGGAGAGAGAATGTAGGGACGTAGAGGGAGAATAAAAGAGGGAGGCTAGACTAGCTGGAGATTTATGCTTTTTGTATTCACTGCCTTAGTGCAGTGAGGCAGGTAGGAGAGGTTCCCCACCCTCTCGAATTGGTGGGTTGATTGTGTATTGCCTACGGGCTCAGTTCTTGATTTATCTATAGAACGGGATATCTTACATGATCCTACCGACATCTAATCCTATCCTAAAAAGTCCTTTGATTTCATTCTAACCAAATTTCTGAAGTGACTGATTTGACAGCATTAATCCATAGTAAATGAGCTGAAGGAGATAAATCCAAACTGAATAAGGTTATTTCTAGGATCTTTGTCAAAGACTCAAGGAAGATTGAAGATCTGGAGCAAAGAAAACCAATGACCCAATGCATATAATGCGAGGACACGACTTTGACTTTAACTATCCTGAGACACAATGAACACGTCGAGCTGTAAAACAGAGGATGTGAAAACCACCTGAAGGATCTATGCTCTAAACTAGCCTGTCTTCATGCATAGTTAAAATCACAAGGTTCAAATTAGCTAATAAACTGCTAAATTCATCGATTTCTGCCTCCTTCAGGTTTCTTCTGGAAACAATTTTCCAAGCACGATGAGAAGCATCCTGACGATCTAATACAGTTATACAGTACTATTAGACATTAAAATTGCCCTATAAGTTATCTTTTGGTAATAGGTATTTTCTCCTATATAAGAGGAAAATCTAGCTGGTAAATTCTTGAATATGCAGAATATTGTATCCCTCTCTCAAGTAACTTGGTATAAGGTTCTGAATATGAATAAAAGATTAAATTTAAATTATAGATGGCTGCCATAATTTTCAAATCCATTAGTGGGTATACTGTTAAGAATATGAATGAAAAGTAAAATATAACTTTAACCTTTTGGGGTGTAGTGGTGATTTAAAATTATTGAAAAAGGTATTAGTTTCTTATTTGATCTATGTTTGAACTTGTAGCTTTTCTACTCGTCATATTTGTCTTCAATATGCATGAGCTGCATGATCTCACTTTGGTTACACATACAGGCTATAACAAAAGCAAGTATCTAATGAGTTTTCACTTTTGGTACAGCTCTTGGGAGTGTTATTTGAAGCACAGTATTTTCAAAATGTGATGCGTGTTGGTTTTCGGCTGAGGTCAACCTTGGTAATTTTTCCCTTTTTTGTTTCTTTTAGTCAACTAAACTTTATTTGGACAATTCTTTCAATCTTGCAACTTCTCAAATATGTTAGAGCTTTCTTTGATAACTCCAATATAGAGCAATTATGTTTCCGGAAGAATTAGTTCACGTGAAAGTTTGATTTATAGTGATTCAATGTCTTTGATGTGTTCTTTATTTTCTTTATTACATTTTTCTTTTAACTAGAAACAAACTTTTCATTGATAAATGAAAAGGAATATTGCTCAAAGATACAAACTCCAATAGGAGTGAAAAGAAAATGAAAACAAACAAAATCAGAAGCAAAAATAAAACTACTCTGAAAACAACCAAACAACACTAATGGGGAAATATAAATGCCTCCCAGTTGTTACAATTTTCTTAATTACATTATTGATTGAGGGAGATTCAAGATTTCCTAGCTAACAAAAAGATACCCCCCACCCTCTGTGTAAACAGCAGTATATAACTAACTTACATTTTTCCCAAAATGCCCATAACTATTGGGCCCACGATAACAACAGAAAAGTATTCCCTCCTAACAACATTCTCCCATTTCTACCCTCTTCCTTGAATACACCTTCGTAATTAGCTGTGTAGTAAAGCTAGAGTTATTTGGACAAACGTATTTGCAGAGCTCTTTTGTGGTTCATTTGAAACAGGAAAATAAAAATTGGATGTTAATGAGAAATACATATCTTTTACATTTTGGAGTGCTTTACACAAGTTTCTCTTTTAAATATATATTTTTTATTATCTTTAATATTACTCTACTTCACTGATCCATTTAGACTGTGGCTATTTTATTTAATCCCCTTCCCTTGTCAAGGGGGCCCCTGTCTCTTTGGTCTTTAGACTGTTTTTATTGTCTTGAAGTTTGTTTCCTATAAAAGAAAAGATAAGATAGATCTTTGCAATGCTTGCATACGTTTGATTCTCGGCCTAAAAGTGCCCTTTTACAGTCATGTTTATTATATATATATATATATCTCTCGGTGCAAGATATAAAGTTGTTTGCTTAGCTATTTTGATTTTCTTCACTTGAAGGAGAGTGGTTAATGTAGGATATTTCCTGAAAACATCTTGATTTCTTATGCTTGGCTATTACTAATGTGAAATGGTGCAATGATGACTCTCTTTTGTCTTTTGTAAGGATGCAAGTTTGACTTCTAAAGTGGAGGAAATATAACTCCCCAGTTGTGACTCTTCTCTTTCTCTTTGTTGTTTTTACTTACAGCTTTCCGTCTTATTTTTATTCACTCCATTTGGAGTTTGTATCCTTGAACAATTCTGTTCCTTTTCATTGAATCAATGAAAAGTTCGTATCTTGTTAAAAAAAAAAAGTGAAGGAAATTTTGTCCGGGCAAACTTTTTGAGCCGTTGTAATCAATGTCATCTTATGTTCTTTCCTTCTTTCTTTTCAAAATAATTGGTACTAAAATGGATCCTTAGATGTCTGCCAAGTTATAAGTTTCATTTGGATCCCTTGTACTCCGAATATGCACACCTATAGAATCTAGTTACAAAATGATTTTTTAAAGAAAAATTTTTAACAGGATGCCTCATAGAAGTACCATGAGTGTATTTACCATTGCAGACATCCATTTTGTTTATTCTTTCTAGCTCTATTCACCATCATGACCTAACATGCATTTTTTGGCTTTTGGCTCTTTCATTAACTGCTATTAATACGCGTCGTTCCACCATATTGGTTCCATGTACTTAGATTCATTATGTTACATTCATTACTTTACTTCCTATACAGGGATAAAGGTGCTTTGAAAAAAGGTTATCCTGATACATATTTACTTATTTCTCCATTATTAGATAGCCGCTGTTTTCCGCAAATCTCTGAGGTTAACCCACGAGGCTCGCAAGAAGTTTGCTACTGGGAAGATAACCAACTTGATGACTACTGATGCTGAGACACTTCAGGCACATTCAAAATTTCATATTTTCTGTGGTGTATATGCAATGATTGTTTTTTTATTTGTTCATATCTTTTTCCCCGTCAGAATATCATATTTGAACATAAATATTACTACATCCATGGGTTGAAGATGGTCTTGGACTCAACCAAAGTGATCATGGGATCGTAACCCCTTGGGGTCACTCACTAGAGTTAAAATTGGACTGGATAGATATTTATAGACTCTAGTCACATTAAGAAAAATGGTTTAGAAAGGGTTCCTTTTCTAAAAAAATTATTGAGTAATGATTATATGTGGACATGCCAATGAAGATATCTGTCTAGTTTTCTTGGTTGCATGGAGTTCCAGTGCTATTAGCATGATTTCTATTTGTTGGGTTCCATGGGTTTTGGAAATAAGTGGTACGATGCAGTAAACTAATAAAGCACATTGTTGTTTTAACTTCATGTGTGATACTGGGTTGAGCGAAAAGATAGGTAACCTTCAAAATATTTTTGAAGAGAACATTGTTGGCTCAAAAATTTGATCTGTAGGTTCATTTACAGACCAGTATGGAGGTAGATCCATGTGATCTTTAAGTTTGAATGGTCAGATCTTGTACTTGCTTTTTCCYTATATCTTTATCCATGTACATTAGCAACTTTTCAGTAATCTCTCTTGAAATCTGGTATTTCTTGTATATCATCCTTAAAAAGCATGTCTCTGTAGAATGAATTATATTTTCTTATTTTTCTTATTAAATGCTAAAACTAACGGTAGATTTAATTTGTGTCTGGCTTCTTTGGTCTCCGTATCCAGCAAATAACCCAGTCACTTCACACGTTATGGTCAGCTCCATTTCGTATTACGATTTCAATGGTTCTTCTTTACCAGCAGTTGGGAGTCTCTGCCCTTTTTGGTTCATCGCTGTTAGTCCTTTTGTTTCCCATTCAGGTACATATCTGATATCTAACAATTCTAATTTTGAAATGGTCTCTAAAGTAAGCGTAGGAATTATAGGTTAAATGTTAATCTGGTTAGTTCATCTGTGCTTCCTTTTAGTCGCATCAGACTTTAGGATCATTAGTAATCTGAATGCTTGATGGCGTCCGGAATAAAGTATTTCTTTCATTCTAATTTGGTTTTATTTCTCTTATGTAGTGTATGAAACAAAACCAATGAATTTAGTATTCCTTTTCTATTGCAGAATCTCTTTCAACTATTCGGGTGCTGAATAATCTTAGGCTTAAGAGAATAAGTTATTTGATATATAAGTGAAAAGGAAGGCCGTGAGAACTGAGGAACTAAAGACTTGTTGCTCAATTTACTTACTTCTTTTCCACTTAAAAAATTTTCTGATATATAAGTGAAAAGGAAGGCCGTTAGAACTGAGAAACTAAAAACTTGTTGCTCTATTTACTTAAAAGTTCATGTACATAGTCATTACAGCTATTTTTGTCACTTAAAAAATCCCAAAAATCTCGTTATTAATTTTTCATTTGACTTTTTAGTTCCATAGAAATTGTATAATTTTATTATTATATCTTTTGTAAGAAAATATTTCATTCTGTATGGTCTTGTTTTCTCTTTAGTTTTATTTTAATTTTTTTAGGGAATTTGATTCTGTTTGTTTAATTTATTATTTTGGGTGAAATACTATTTTAGTCCAGGGCAATTGGGCAAGGGTCGATTTCGTCCATAGGTTTCAAAATCATACACTTCTGCCCACATGGTTCAGAGAAGTAGGTTTAGAAAATACTTCAATTTAGTCTCCGGCGTTATGTTTTCCATTTGCTAACTTAATAGAAAAGTGACTGGTGTATTTAATAACAAACCTTGCTGATGTGGTACTTTTAAAATTAAGTAAAATAATAAATAAAAGAAAAAAAACCTTCTCCTCTCCCTGTCCGCCCACCCATCCCCTCCCCCTCTCCTTCCCCTCCTCTATAGAGCTTGTCACCACTGCCGCAGTTCAATGTTGCCTGCCTGCCGTTGCCCGCCCTCTCCCTCTCTTTTACAGATTTGAAAATTGGAATAAAATTTCAAGATCTGGCTAGATCAATTGATGGAGAGAGAGGGTGCAAGGTGGGGGTTGGCAAGCAGCGGCAAGCTCTGTAGGGGAGTGGAAGGAGAGGAGGTGGGGATGGGTGGAGAGAGGAGAATTATCTTTTTTAAAAAAATTATTGTCTTTGATTCTAAAAGTGCTACGTAACTAGATTTATTATTGAATACACCACATCACCTTTTTGTTAAGTTAGCTAATAGAAAACCTAGCACTAGGGACGAAATTGAAGTATTTTCTAAACAGTGGGGACAAAAGTGTACGATTTTGAAACTTAGGGACGAAATTGACCTGTTGTCCAAACTTCATGGACCTTAAAGGTAATTTACCTAATTATTTTTATTTTTCTGATAAATAAAAGAGAAATTTTAATTGTGCAATTTTTTCTCATCATTATATAAAGAAAAAGAAATTGAAAATATGTTTTTGTTTCTAGAAGGAGGCATCCACATCCTTTAGCATTTTTATTTCTCATCATTATCTTAGTGTGTACTATACATACACTGCTTCACAACTTCACGATGTCGTTCTCTTTCTAATTTGTGTCCCATTATTCTCTGGTTGTTGTATGAATTAGGAGCCTTTTATTCTCTCTCATCAGCATCTTGTATACGTTACTTCACTCCTTTTTTCTCTCATTTTTGGATTTTGTTTCATTTGAACAATTTTGTAACTTTCATTACATCAATTAGATACAAATAATGAGAAGTTCGTATCTAGTTTTAAAAAATACATAAACTCCAAACTGCAGGAGAGCATTCGAGTTTCACATGCATTTCTTTGTGTACACGATATGATATTCATGCAACTGCATTGACATGATTTATAATAGCAATATGTTTTGCATGATGCTGAACCCATTAGTTTTATTTTTTATTTTTTTATTTTGCATATATCTCAACATGACATACACTAGATTAGAAATACAAATACCTAATATATATGTTATAATGTTATGTGATTACAGACACTTGTGATCAGCAGATTACAGAAACAGTCCAAAGAGGGATTGCAACGTACAGACAAGAGAATTGGTCTCATGAATGAGATTTTGGCTGCGATGGACACAGTGAAGTATGAAATATAAGAATAAAATGCTGGTAGTCTTTATTATCTAAAACTTGCTGATAATTATCGTGGTTGTTGGAAATGGATCAGATGCTATGCCTGGGAGAGTAGTTTTCAGTCAAAAGTACAAATAATTCGAAATGATGAGTTGTCATGGTTCCGTAAGGCATCACTCCTTGGGGCGGTATGTTATTCTTTTTAATGTTATCTTCTGTTCGTTACATATGAAGGAAACAAAAATTTATAGTTAAGTTTTCCACCTTACCTTTTAATTCAATATTCTGGAATTTGGTTAAAAGGAGTAACACTGTTTTTAGGGTACCAGTGATCGTGTAGTTGAAATTAGTTTGGATTCAATTTATTTTGTGGAATTTGATGACAGCAAACATTCCTCTCTCTCATGGGGTCTGTGTCTGTCAATGTCACTTGTAGTACCTTACAAGAATTATTGACATGCATTTGTCAATTTGGTTTCGGTTGCCGACTACTGCCTGTTCTGTGTTTCTTGTGTAAAAGGAAAAAAAAAAGACTATTGCCCAGGTGTACAAATGCAACGAGCTTGACAATATATCAATATTTGTAGATAAACCTATAATAGGATTAGATGTTAGATGCTCCAGCAAAATGATTAATGTTTGGAGAAAATTTCAAGAATATTTAATAATACCCTGTTATCATTTCCGTCAGGTTTTCTTCTCATGATGTATTCTTTCATCTTTAGTTTTTCTTTTCTTTTTTCTTTTTTCTTTTGTTTTTATTTTCCTTTGATATTTTTTTACCTTTTCGACCAACTTAGAAGTTTGTATCTTTCGAACATTTTTGTTACTTTCCATACATCAATGAAAAGTTCGTAACTTATTCAAAAATAATATTTTGTTATCATTTCACAAGATTCGTGTCAATTTTACATTTTTACTAATATATTATTTATGTTACAGTTTTTTTTTTTTTTTGGAACATGCCCAGTGCATTATCACCACCTCCTGTTTGTTTTAAACAAGAAACAGCTTTTCCTTATATATGAAAAAGGAGATACAAACCCCCAAAAAGTGAAATAAAAAAGAGAAAAAAAGAAACAAGACAAACAAAAGAGAATCTCAACAAAAGTATTAAAACCAAATATAAGAATGAAAAGCAATATAGGCCAAGGACTGCCATAGGATCATAAAAAAACAGAGGGACCCCTTATTCAATATTTATATTATTTATGTTATAGTTAAAATAAAAAAAAAAATTAAATGTATAGTCGTTTCTCAAACGAATTTTTCATTGTTGATTGAAATTTACAATAAAAGAGTCCAAACCCCAATTAAGGAGTCTACCAAATTCCCCATATTATTTGGGTAAGAACCTGGATGAAGGTTGAAATCAAGTGAATTTTTTGCTCCACTTGTCACTTCTGTATTTTAATGATTTTATTTGTTTTTGCAGTTAAATGGTTTCATACTGAATAGCATTCCTGTTTTTGTGACTGTGGCTGCTTTTGGATTATTCACGGTTCTTGGGGGAGACTTGACTCCATCTAGGGCATTTACGTCACTTTCACTATTTGCAGTGCTGCGGTTTCCTCTATTCATGCTTCCTAATATAATAACTCAGGTTCTCTCTTATGTGCCTTTCAAGTTTTACCTTTTTAATCTTTTCTTGGCTTGGATATTAGTAGCCAGTAGGCTATGCAATGGTGGATGTGGTTGTTGATATTTGAGTTACTTAGATATTTGAAAAGTTACAAAGTAAAACTCCTCCGGCTCCATCCAATTGCTGCAAAATAAATTGTGGCGGCTACTATCCACCTAGGATGGGACATAACTATTATATCAAATGAGATCTGGAACCAATTTGTGCCAGAAAACAAAAATGTATGCAAGAAGATTGGACATGATTGATGAGAACGTCCAAATTAGACAGTGGATAGTGAAAATTGATGTGCTTTATATGCAAGAATATACCATTAGTATCATCGAAATAGGAATTAGAATGTTGGCATGGATGGTTAGAGGAGGATATTGAGCTGCACGACCAATTTGGAATGCGGGTAACCCACATATTGGATGGCAACAACCAACGTGAGGGTGAAGTGGGTTAGAAATTAACAGCCTTTGATGGAAGATTAGATATGATGTGGAAGTTGGACTAGATATGGAAGTATTTTTAGATTGGCTGAACAATGCCAATAATTTTCTTTGACAATATGGGTGGCCTAGAGGATCTAAAAGTTAAGTTAGTGACATTACTAAACAAGGCAGGTGTGTTGGCACGGTGGTGGGTGACCTAGAGGATCACAAGGTGAAATTAGTGACATTAATAATCAAGGCAGTTGTGTTGGTCTAGTGGAATAATGCAGATATGGCTGTGAATGGATGATCTGACGAATTGGTTAGCAAGGGTACGGAGGAATATTGTTTGTTTTTCCTTGAAAGAAACAATTTCATTGATGATATGAAATTACAGAAGCCCTATCCCATGAAGCAATAAAGTAAAAAGTAAAAAGAATTTTAAAAAAGTCTATTAACTACTTTCATAAACTTTTACTTGAAATTTGGAAA